TGTGATGATTAGTACTTGAGATATCAGTGGAAAAACCGAAAATTGACTAATCATTATGCAAATTAGGTAATTAATATGCACGGATTTTTACCAAAAATTAATCAAATCTGCGCATATGTTCAGAGCATCTATGTACCAAGTTTCATCAAAATCCAATGAGTGGTTCTTTAGATATCAGTGGAACAGTCATAGAACAGCTAAAAATTAGCTAATTATCATGCAAATTAGGTAATTAACGAGCATGGATTTTTACCAAAACCTAATCAAATCTGCGCATTGGCCCAGAGCATCTATGCACCAAGTTTCATCAAAAACCGATGTATGGTTCTTGAGATAGCAGTGGAACAGTCGGACACACATACACACACACACACATACACACATACACACATACACACATACACACACACATACAGACACACTAACTGCAAAGACTCCCATTTTGTGCTTCGCACATGGGAGTCAAAAAGTGTTTTCAGCGAAAATTAATTCCAGCTAAAATAAAATATTCTACAGTATATGTTTCCATTCAACTGCAGTTTTGTTCTTTCACAAATTTTGATCAAGACTTATAGCCAATGAGAAATTAACAAAAAACATAAAAATGTGCAAAATATTGCACCAACTTTTAGCAGGCAAAGTTATGGCATTTAAAGAGTTAATAACATGATGTAATGCTTTGTGACTTCATTCTAACCTGACACTATCACAGTCGATTAGATCTATAAAGGCATATACAATATAGCAAAACACTGACAATACAGCTGTGTCACCAAACACCTTTGAAAGTGAAACAAACCAAAACAGAGAAAGTAAGGAAAAACCGATATAGAAAATACAAATTATTGATCACTGATCACAATAACTTGTTATTTATTAAAATATACCAAGGATAATCAGATGAGGATATGCAACACTGTTGTGGGAATTAGCTGTTTAATAGTAGGTCAAAACTATGACCCACTTTGAATAAAATACCAACTATTTTTTGCTTTTTAGCTGTAATTAATAAAATATATAATGTACATGTAAACAGATAGTGGCTTTCCAGTTTTGTTGTGACTGCATTTTTTCCTCGAAACAAGTGATGCAAGTGTGTTATACGCAATGAAGAAATTTACGCATACTAAAGAAATCACACATGTTGAAAGATGACAGACAAACATACATTTCTATAAATTCTAGGCCAAATTAGTGAGTCTGGTTTCAATCATCTCAGTGTCCTTGTTTATGAATGAAGTTGAATGTTTGTTATTTCTGAAACAGAGAACGCATCAATTTGAAATGATCAATAATCAAAATAACACTAAAATCATTCAAATCATTGTCTACTTTACTGAATAAATAAATTGGTGCACTTACTTGAATTTAATGCAATGCTGGTAAATTTAATGCAGGGCTGGTGAAATATGAAAGTTACCTGCTCTGGTGTCTGTTACCCAATTTTGAGAAATTTCAATTGCTGATGAAGAAATCAAAACTTACCTTCAATCTCAATGTTGTGCCTATGTGCTAGATACATAACATTATCCCCTACTTTGCCTTTGACATTAATTCTTTTATTCGATCTATCAATATACGTTATATTAACACTGAAAAAAAGTAATAAAACTGGACAATAAATGATCAAGGTGTAATGGCATGAAATAGCGCCCTCTATAGTCAGTTGTATTTTTCCATCAGCAGAAAGCACGTAATAGTTTTGAATCTGACAACTAATGATTTGCCATGGATGACATCCAACATTTTGTAGCTAATTTATATAAAATTTGATCAGTCAATATTTCAACACATTTTCTAAAAACCTGACTATTTTTCAAAATCAATTATTTAAATGGGCTCAACACGTTTTTACGGTACCCGATATTTTTGCTAATTCAAGATGAGGATAATTCAATTTTCTCCATACATTATTGACAGCATTTTTTGTTACCATTTTGTTGTTGCTGTTATCTCTCATTAAATTATTGTACAGCAGAAGAAGGATGTATGATCATACGATTATCATGAGAATTCGGCAAAGTATGCAATAAGGCAGTATGAGGTCACATCAAGCTCTGCTACATGTCTGTCAATACAATCATTGCACTACCTTTGTGAATATTTTGCGGTATTCATGAGATAACCTCATAATATAAAACATATTATAGAGTATCATAAAATCTGTATTAGAATTCGCATCCCTAATAAAAGTCGCACCCATTCTTTATGAACAACTGAGAATCAAAAATTCACCATTTCTCATATGTGTAGATGCTCTAATAGAAAACACACTCATCTGTTGCATTGTACCATTGTAATAGAAGCAACATTTTACAGTACCAGTACTCTATATAGATTACATAATATATAAACCTTCAATGCAAGCTGGTGAAAAGTTATGCTTTGACTATAGTGTAATTCAATATAAGAAAGGCAATGTACATAGATACTCTAGTAGGGTGTTAGAGTATACTTTTTCACATGATAAAAAAAAAAAATATTTCCTTGAGATTCTTATTGCTGAAGAATTGACTACAAATGAATGAAAGACAGAAATGTTAAGCAAATATTAAATGTAAATAATAGATAACTGCAAAGAAAGATAGGAGAATTGAACCTGGATCCTTAATGTAATTATTCCTGGATTCCACCAATGGGAATGGTTACATTTCAGCATTTTGTTTGAATTATAATAGATATAAACCTGCTGCTGATGTGAAGCTAGTACAAAATATCATGGGATTATACATTAATCACATGCATATTTCTACAGTACGAACAGTGGAGTGGAGTATTGACAGTGTAACTATTGCCAAAATAATACCAAATACAAATATATCATTGCTTGTGTTTCACATGCTTATTTATTGACATTGCAGTGTTCTATTCCATGTGAATGCCTTGCATAGACTCTGCTGCGATTCTGCTTGTTCACAATATTTGTTTTAATTTGCTAGAATTTATTTTATTTAATTCAACTAATATTTAGAAGAGACTGAATAATAATGCAAAACTATGCATCTGTCCTGTATTACGCATCACTGTGGATGTTATGCATTTGACATTTAATGTGAAATATTTGATATTTCACTTTAACATGGGGATATGCACACTAAAAGTCATCAGTCTGCGTGTGCTCAGACATCACATAAAACAAAACCAAATAGTGTAACAGTACCAAGTTTATTGCTCCAATACGAGAATTTCAGCAAGGATAACTAGATGACTGCAAATACATGTTCATTTTGAGTGAAAACCACCCAATTCTATTGCTTTGAGGAAGAAGAGTGAAAAACACCAAAGCTTCGATTTTGAAGAAAAGAGTGAAAAACACCCAAGCTTATGATTCTGAAGAAAAAGACTGAAAAATGATGATGAATAATCAGCAAAATAACAGCAAGGTTTTTGATCTTTACTTTTTATGACGGGAATCAAACAATTTTCTAGTAGACCATTCTTTTTGCATTAATGAAAAAAATAATAACTTCATTATCTATGTGATGAATAGGCATACATGAACCAAGGACAATTCTGGAATAATAATGTATTCATCAAACTACACATAGGACAAACAAAAACATGTGGTTCCAAAGAAAGTAAATCAAATAGAATGCAGCAAAGTATTTACTTACACATCTTCCTCTGATTTGGGATCTTGCCATTCGTAATCACCGTGTCGAAAAGGTCCTGTTGAAAAGTAAATAATTATAAATGTTGTTTATAGAAAAAAAGGAATATTAATGCAATCATGTTATTCACTAAAGGCAGTGTGGACAAATACAGTCTAATGACTCATGGTTCAATCAGTATACTTTCAGCCAATCACTGATGCAGTATCTGTGGGCTTCAAGTTGGTGGGGGTAGAGCTTCATACAACAACAGTTCTCAGAGCTGATATCAGGCAACCCGACAGTGCACAGGATGAAAATTTCAATTCAAAGACATACTCAACTAATTAATTAACTCAAGCTGAAAAGATCGAACTAAGAATCTCCATGAAACGGAAAGATTATACCCCCCCCCCCACTCTCCCCCAAAACAAAATAAACATATGAAAGTTGTTGATACCTGCGCTGACTTTGAACCATCTTTTCGACGTATAATTTATGTTGGGTATTTTGATAGTTCTTATCTGCGAGCACTTTAGACATATGCCCCTTTCCATAAAAACATCGGCAACAATCCTTGAAACACGCATTAATTGTTGTACAGACGTCTTGAGTGCCATTTTCTTTCATAGCTTGACCTTTAACCCATGCGTACATTATTAGTACCATGTTTCGTCCCAGCTGTTTTGTATATTTTTCACAGATTTTTAAAATATCTATAAATTAATATCAAAACTGATTATTGTGTTTACGTTTTTAACAAGATTTCTAATGTGTCTCGCTTGCAACAAGAATTATTTAGCATTGTAAGAGACGTGACAAATACAATGTTCAATTTAGTTAAAGGAGACAATTAGCATGTAGAATTTAGAAAGAATAAAAATAAAAAATATAGTTTATAATTGGTAGTGTGTAATGAGATATTTACACAAATGTAGTTTACAATTATGCCAAATAAAGTAGGGAAATAATGCAAGCGATTTTACGAGCTTAAGCTGTTTGTGTAACACTACTTTCTGTGTCAAGACCGCAAACACTCACACACTTTGTTGTGACAGCGTGAAGCTGGGCATTCCCAGCACGGCAGAATTACGCCACAAAACAATCTCCATTTCAACCCACGGGATTTTAATACCTTTCTACATGTGCCAGAGTTATCAACTTTAATGGAATCTAACGTTTTCGACGTTTGGAAAGACGACAGAAGCGTGCGATCGTGAAGCATCGAAGGGATTTGCGGCACAGTCTTTGAGACTGCAGCCTGAAGGGGAAAATGGCGGCCGCTCGTTTGATTTTATTTGTCTGTGCGCTAGTGATTTGCCGAACTGAGACGACGGACTCGAATAACGAAGACTCCGTTTCACGGAGGGAACATCCTGGAAGACGAGTAAATCGTTTAAAGACTGGCCAGAACGGTATGATCAACTTTAACAACCCCGAACTGTTGGAAGAACTCGTTTCAAATGGTTATCAAAACGGCGATAACTTGCCGCTATCGTTGTTGGATTTATACGAGCAAGAACAGCCGGAAAATCCAAAAACAATTATGCGTGATGCGTCGATCCTTGCGGGAAAACTACGCGATCTTGCAGACCGGGAAATGGGTTACAGAGCAATGCAGGTAAATTTACATGAAGATCAGTGGAATGTTTTGGTCTGGGCAAAGTATGAACGTATGAATACATGTGTTGGACGTTTTTTGTGATTGATGATTGTATGTTCGTTCGGGACTTTTCTTCGCACAACTTGACCTCTTTCAGCACAGTGGTAGCCGATCAGATCTTACTTTGCGCTGTGTATTGAAACGAAATCCGTGTTTTGTTACTATTATCGTATACAATTAGAATTACATTATTCTGTATTGCATTACGATCATTTATTTTTCCCCTTCCTGTGTGATTTTGGTGCAAAGTATGCGGCTCGGGGAAGTTACAGTCCCCGAAGTTTAACGAGTTTCCCGTTGCCGTTATTTCAGTAATTCTCATCAAATGTTACTATGCAGCTTAAATCAAAGGTTTTTTTTGCTCGTTTCCGCAAAATATATTATATAAAAATCGTAAATGCATCCAAGAAACTAATAGCTTATCGTAAGAGTCAGAGAATTGGCAGCTAACCAGGTCGTTGTATTGTGCGTTTGCGTTGTGAAAAGTGGCAGATATGGGCTCTGTAAAGGCCTCCATTGTGTGCGCTTTTGAGAGAGAAGTGATCTGCATTGCAATTACGTCCACACAGTGACCCGCAGTGAAATATATCCAATAGACACACACACTGCCACAATGCACACAGCCAACAGTGTACATACCGTTGCCGCAATCTTTTCAATAAAAGTGAAACTCCTTTCCTCTTGAGAGGTAACCTGTAAATTAAATTGTTTATCGATCCCTGGTGTAGGTGTGAACTAAGTAATTTACACATTTCAGATTACTATCATTTCATTAGTTTCAATCAATAAGGTGACAACTTCATGGTTTGTGTTCTGCAAGTCGATCTGTTTTCGTGTTTTGCATGTTTCTGCTTCTGTTCATTGTAAAAGTTTCACGTCACCAGATGATTTATTATGGCTTTCCCAATTTGAAATTATCTTATTGAAGACTAAAAATCTTACTTTAAAATAAATGTTGTTTTTTCTGCATTGATTTTCACTCAGTTTGGCTAATGAATATTTTTATGTGGATAAGTTAATAAAAAGAGTGTAGTTGTATCGCCTTAGTTGGTTGACTAGGGTTTTATTAAATTCTTTTGGTCACTGATTCAACCACCAATGCAAGGTAATGCGTGAAACAGTATACTCATGGCTTGTTTTTATTTCATTGAACCGGACATTAGGTTTGTGTTTACTGGATCACAATTTAATAAAAACACTGCGTACCAGCAATGACTCATAATAAATTTAGATATAGTCCATTTCATTCAGAACACTTGTAAATAAGAGAAATTAAATGCAACAAAGTTCGACATGATTAATCACACCCATGTTGGTTGGTACATGTACATGGCGTGTAAGTAACAGATTTCACCTGATTACTGTTAAGTTTCTCTGAATCTTGAGAGGTTCAGAAATATATCAATTCTTTCCAGTTAATTTGTATTCCGTACTCACAGTCTTATAAGCGCATACACCTTTAGTAAGATGACACAAGCATGGAATAATGGAGAGTTGAAGGGATTTGTGGCACAGTATAGGAAGCACTTGCATGTTTAGAATGACGACACAAGCGGGTGATCGTGAAGCTTCAAATAGATTTGCTGCACAGTCTTTGAGACTCCAGCCTTACATGAATTACAGAAATATTTCTGTGGTAAAAATAAGTAATACTGTATTTACTCTATTAGGAGTGCATATAATGTAGGGAGCGGAGCGCATATAACTCTTAGAACCACACTATTCAACACATATTAAAATTGTATATGTTTAGGGAATAAATAAAACATAAAAAAAAAACTTATTTTCTCCATAGAAACACACCTGTAATGTACCTAAGCGTATGCACTTCTAATAGAGCAAATATGTTATTTTAATGACTTTTTATACAGCCAATGTAATTTCTGGTTTGTATGTACTTCTGTTGAAGATGCGTTTCTAATAGAGCAAATACGATATTATAATTTTGCAGTATCCTGTTATTCCGTGGAATTGGGATGTTCTACGCCTAAGGGGACCAGATAATGTGTACACTGTGTGAAACATGCTTCAAATTAAACTTTTTTTTTTCAACTAAGAATCTTGCCGAGTTAAAAACAAAGGCACTTAGATTTCAAAGTCTATGTTACGTACATAATTTAAATCATAAAAATGAAATATTCACTGACAATGCAGGTTGCAATGGCTTATTATCAAGCCCATTACCCGCTAGTGTTTTTCTCATGCTCAGGTTATCTTAAGAGACGCTTGATGTGAAACCAATGTGACATATGCTGTATATTAGAGTACTTAGAGTTCGCATTCGTGTGAAAGGAATCTCTCCCAGAATCACAGCGTACTTTGCGCCTAGTGATTAGTACTGATTTCCATTTCGTCTCTTGGCTGTTCTGCAAATGCCTTCATCTAGACACTTATCTGGTCCACCTTTGACATTCGATCAGTGTATTTTGCTTTAATTTGCTGTTATCTATCATGGAACTATAAACCCCAGGAAGAACAACCACTTCGTTTCCTTTGAACTATGATAGTTGCCGCGATGTCGAATGTTTATTTTGACTGTTTATTTTGTCGCATTAAAAAATAAGCCGATTTACGCAAATGAACGTTTATCTCCGACTATCGGTCATTTTCGGAGTCAATCGGACGACTCCGGGAGATCACGTGACCGAGTTGTTCCGGTTATAGCATAAAAAAACAATGGCGCCAAGACAAAAACACTGATAAATGATCGACATTCAACGGGAAAAAAAAACACATTGCCACTTCTGGCGATCGAAGGGAAACACGGAATTAGTCGGGATATCTCAACAACAAACAGCTCACCAAACCCCATGTTTCGCAAACTTTCGCAACCTTATTTTTTCGAGGGTTGAAAAAAACAAGAAGTAATCTAAAAACGACATTAAAAATTATGAAAACTCGCTAAAACTCCGACCCGTTGCATGATTTCCGGTACACTGAAGGTCACCCTGCAGACCGACTTGTTTGCGCATGCGTAGTGAACGAAATATTTTACTGCGCAGATATGACATTTTTTTTTCAAGTTTTCCGTTTCCAGCAAAGCGGTTGAAACGGGCGTATCGGCGGCAACTAACATGGAGTATGACTAATGTCGTGGAAACAAAAGCGAAAGCACTGTAAGATAAACTAAGACAAAGGTTTTTTTAATCCTCTTAGTTTCGTTGTTCTTCCTGGGGTTTATAGTTCCATGGTTTAATCATGAAGCTCAATAAAGAGCTCCATGATTAAATAAAAATTGAGGTTTAATCCAAATATTGTTTGCTTTCAGATTATGCAAGTCACTGGGTACAGTGTGTGTGCTTGGCAAATGTATTCAATGTATGATAAGAAAAGTAAACAAATAATTATGTAACAAGTTACACTTGAACCCTTATTCTGCTGCTAATGCACTTTCAAGA